CACCCGCTTTTGCCAGCCAGTGATGTTTACGGATGGTGGTGATTGCCAGCAGTAGCCAGCGTAGAATGGCCGTAGACCTGTGGTATAGGAGCACCGGAAGAACAGGTGCGAGTGAGACTCCTCCTCCACGCCAGCCACATAGACTGCAGGTATGCGATCTAGCTGAAGCCCCCCAGCGACTTAGACGATCCTCGGTCGGAAGACGATGCAGCAGCACTTGCCAAAGCAGGATAGAAATTAAGACAGGGGAACAGGTTCAGCGAACCAAACCAGAAGAAGAAATGCTTGGATTAATATAGGAAGTGGGCAAGGAGAAAAAATCGAATCTTGATACATTGGAAACCAGCAGAAGTTACTTACACGTCGTACTTACAGAAGAGAAGGGTTTTTTTTTTCAACCTGAAATATGCAGTTTGCAGCAAATGCTGTTCTGACATATCTTTACACTCAATCTTGTTCTTCCAATGTCATGTAATACTTTCGCCCGGTTTGATCGGAGAACTAAAAGAGAGATTGCACGGTTTGATCGAGAAGGAAAGAATTTCATTTCAAGCTGTAGAATCGAAAATCACCTCCCCGGAAACCGAATGGCTGCTGCATACAAGCAGATGCTACGTTAGAATGAAGGAAGAAAGCTTCTTGAACGAATCATTGATTCACATCAGACAAGAACGGTGCAATGAACAAACTATGTCTTTACTCAAAATATGACACCAGAATGGTTTTATTCTATAGTTTGTATTACCTAGATATACAATCGGATTAGTGACATGTACATATGAGTGACGAGTCTGTATTTAAAGGTTGTTGTGTAGCAGTTATAGAATAACAGAAAATTTCCCCAATTACTTTCTCTCTCTAATGCTTCCTTTCTCTCTCCTTTGCTCATGCTCTGTTCTTCGTCTCTGGTTCAAATTCACCACTGAATCTGGATCTAAGATGGTATCAGAGCGTATCTGATCATTCCGCACCGAATATTTTTTATTTCACCGATTCAGTTTCTCAATTTCAAGTCTGTTTGATCAAACTTTCTCGAAATTGCTTTCATGGCGATGACAAATACCTCCTCTGTTTCGGCTTCGTCTACTCGTTCGAATCCTATTGATTTCAATGACCATTACTATCTAGATCGGAGTGATAGTATGAGTCTTACTCTGGTTTCAACTCGTCTCACTGGACCGGAGAACTACAATGCCTGGCATCGTTCCTTTTCTATGGCATTGGAAGGCCGAAACAAGCTTGGATTTGTTGACGGATCAATTGCTCAACCTGTTGAAGACCATCCTGACTTCAAGCTTTGGTCTCGCAACAATGTTGTGGTAGGTTCTTGGATTATGAATTCTGTATCTGAAGATATTGCTGAAAGTCTTCTATATGTTCATGACGCTCGAGCGATGTGGTTAAATCTACATAATCGGTTTCAACAAAATAATGCACCAAGGCGTTATAGTGTTAAGGAGAAATTACGTTCGCTAGAACAAGGATCAATGGATGTTAATCTGTTCTATACGAAAATGCTTTCCATATGGGAAGAAATGAAGTCTATCAAGGCTTCTCCAATGTGCAAGTGTGGAAGATGCACTTGCAGCGTGAACAAGCAATGGAATGAAGTTTTTGAAAGTGATTTTGTTTTGGACTTTCTCTTTGGACTTAATGAGTCTTATGAAGCTATTCGAGGTCAAATTTTGATGCTCGAACCTCTTCCAGATCTTCAGAAGACGTTTAACTTGATCATTCAGCATACACAGCAACGTTTGATCAAGAAACCTGTTTCAGATACTCCAGTTTTTCAAGTATCTGCTCCAGCAGAGCAACAGAATTTGGTTGCAGCTGCATCTGCTGGGAATTTTAAACCGAAACAACGCCCACTGTGTTCTCATTGTGGTCTGTATGGACACACAATACAGAAGTGTTATAAGCTACATGGATATCCTCCAGGCTATAAACAATCTTCTGCACCACCGAAGCAACAATTCAATGCTTCAAAACCATCACAGAGTGTTTCATGTTCTCAAGGTTCGAGGTTTACTCCACTTCAGCCTCAGTACAATCAGCAGAATCCTCTGAATCAGAATGTGATTGCATCAGTTCAAGCTAATGTTGAGAACTCGGCTACTCAGTCTCAGATTGATGCATTGTCATCTTCTGACCTACAGCAGTTGTTTGAGCAAATTGCTAACAAATTGCATGTTTCTAAGCCTACAATCACATCTTCGGGTGCTCCAGAGAATTCTGCATCAATATCTGGTATCTTCATATCCTCTGTTATCTGTTCTTCATTACTGCAATCAACTAGTATCAGTAATAAGGATTGGATAATAGATTCAGGAGCCTCTGTGCATGTGTGTTCGAACTTAGACTTATTCTTTGACCTTAGAAACATTTCACCAATCAAAGTAACATTGCCAAATGGTCATCATGTTACTATTAATTCAGCAGGCACTGTATATCTGAATGAACTTCTGATACTCTATGATGTTTTGTTTGTTCCTTCCTTTTCTTTCAATCTTCTTAGTATTTCTTCTCTTTTTAAACACTGAAACACTCAAGTAATCTTTACTTCTCATTCGTGTCATATCCAGGACCATACTCAGGGTTTGAAGATTGGTCAAGCTAATCTTCACCAAAATCTCTTTGTCCTGGATATCTCTTTTTCGCCTTTGCGTCATTCTGATTCATCTACAACTTCAGCTTTCTGTAATGCTGTTGATACTACTACTTGGCATCATCGACTCGGCCATCCTTCTTTTTCCAGAATAAAAGCTTTGTCTCCTTTACTTTCTTTGCCTAAGTGTACATATTTGTCTCATTGTAAAGTTTGTCACTTAACAAAGCAAAAACGTTTACCTTTTGTTTCTAGAAATAATATGTCTGTAAACCCATTTGATCTTGTTCATTTAGACATTTGGGGACCTTTCTCTACTCTTTCTATTGAAGGTTACAGATATTTTTTAATAATTGTCGATGATGCTTCTCGTTCTACTTGGATATACATGCTGCGTTTTAAGAGTGATGTGATGCACATCTTCCCGGCTTTTGTTACATTGATTGAGAATCAGTTTCAAAAAGTAATCAAAGCAATAAGGTCTGATAATGCACCCGAGTTGTCTTTTAAGGACTTGTGTTTGCAGAAAGGGATTGTACATTACTTCTCTTGTGCATACACACCTGAGCAAAATTCAGTTGTTGAGAGGAAGCACCAACACATTCTAAATGTGGCGAGATCATTGATGTTTCAATCGAATGTGCCAGCTGAATACTGGAGTGATTGTGTCAGATGTGCTATCTATTTGATCAACAGGCTTCCTTCTCCAGTTCTGCAAGAGAAAACTCCGTATGAGGTACTTTATGATAAACCTCCTGCTTATGAGCATTTGAGAGCTTTTGGTTGTCTGTGTTACAGTTCAACCAATTTGAAAGATCGACACAAATTCTCTGTCAGAGCTAGAGCTGCTGTTTTTATTGGATACCCTCAAGGTTATAAGGGATACAAATTACTTGACCCTGTAACTCAAGAGGTTTATGTTTCCAGGCATGTGATTTTCCATGAGGACATTTTTCCATTCCTTTCACAACCAAACTACTCAGAATTTTCTAACAATTCTGTTTCTTCTCAGCCTATCCCTTTACCAATATTTCCACCAAACTCAACTACAGTATATCAAACTGTAGCTCCTTCTGTAGAAACTCCTTCTACAGTCGAATCTCCACATTTGATCCAAACTCACCCTACTACAGAACATCAAACTGTAGCACCTTCTGCAGAAACTCCTTCTGCTGGAAATCTTCCTGTTTTTCCTGAGCAAAGACCTGAGTCTAGACCTAAACGTAATGTCAAGGCTCCAGGTTATTTGTCTCAATACTATTGTAATTCAACCCATCATGATTCTCAAGCCATATTTTCCACTCCTTACCCTATGTCATCTGTTTTGACATATGACCATATTTCTCCAGAATACAAACAATTTCTTCTGAACCTACATACTGATATTGAACCAAAATCATTCAAAGAAGCCATTTTATCTCCACAGTGGACACAAGCCATGGAAACAGAAATACAGGCTCTGACAGACAACGGAACATGGAGCATTGTATCCTTGCCTCAGTCGAAGAAGCCTGTAGGTTGTAAATGGGTGTACAAGGTTAAAAGAAATTCAGATGGAACTGTTGAAAGGTACAAGGCACGCCTTGTTGCCAAAGGTTTCACACAGCAAGAGGGTATTGATTATGAAGATACATTTTCTCCAGTGGCGAAGTTAGTGACAGTTAAATTGCTGTTGGCATTGGCAGCAATCAAAAACTGGTCTTTGACTCAAATGGATGTAACTAATGCATTTTTACATGGAGATCTTGATGAGGACATCTATATGTCCTTACCACCTGGATATACTCCTCCTGTTGGTCAGAATTTACCCAAGAATGCAGTGTGCAAGCTTCAGAAAAGTTTATATGGGCTGAAACAGGCGTCGCGACAGTGGTATCGAAAATTTTCTTCTGTTTTGATCAACTCTGGTTTTACTCAGTCTCAAGCAGATCATACTTTGTTTGTCAAGAAGCAAGGTGATGTGTTTACAGCCTTATTGGTTTATGTTGATGACATTGTGATTGCTGGAAATGATGATAGAGCTGTGCAAAATCTGAAAGATACCTTGAATCAGCATTTTAACATCAAGGATCTAGGACCTTTGCGCTATTTCTTAGGTCTGGAGATTGCGAGGAGCTCGAAGGGAATTGCTCTTTGTCAAAGGAAATACTGTCTGGAGTTGCTAAATGATACCGGTTTAAGTGGCTGTAAATCTGTCTCGGTACCTATGGATCCCAATGTTCATTTGCGTCATGATTCAGGACAGTTTCTGTCAGATCCGACTCCTTACAGAGCCTTGATAGGGAGATTGCTTTATCTTACTATAACAAGGCCAGATATTACGTTTCCAGTACATAAGCTTAGTCAGTTCCTTGCTAAGCCTACTGAAGAGCATCTCAAAGCAGCACACAGGATTGTTAGGTACTTGAAAAGCAATCCTGGACAGGGTCTATATTATGCTGCGGATTCTGAGCTTCGGTTGAATGCTTTTGCTGATGCGGATTGGGCTACATGTCCAGATACTCGGCGTTCTGTCACTGGCTTTTGCATATTTCTTGGACAATCTCTGATTTCGTTCAAATCAAAGAAACAAAATACTATTTCCAGAAGTAGCACTGAAGCAGAGTATCGTGCATTAGCAAACACGACGTGTGAAGTGGTTTGGCTTGTTCATTTGCTGTCTGATTTGCAAGTTTCGCATCAACAGCCAGCAAATCTCTTTTGTGATAACAAATCTGCTTTGTATATTGCTTCCAATCAGGTTTATCATGAAAGAACAAAACATATTGAGCTGGATTGCCATCTGGTGAGGGAGAAATTGCAGAAGGGTATTATCAAAACTCTTCATGTGAAGACTGAAAATCAGTTGGCCGATATGTTTACGAAAGCTCTACAGCCAAATCTCTTCCATTATATGTTACAGAAGTTGTAGGTGTCAAGTCTGTTTCTCGATCGGAAAGAGAATCAGACTTGAGGGGGGTGTATTACCTAGATATACAATCGGATTAGTGACGTGTACATATGAGTGACGAGTCTGTATTTAAAGGTTGTTGTGTAGCAGTTATAGAATAACAGAAAATTTCCCCAATTACTTTCTCTCTCTAATGCTTCCTTTTTCTCTCCTTTGCTCATGCTCTGTTCTTCGTCTCTGGTTCAAATTCACCACTGAATCTGGATCTAAGAGTTTGGTCCGGAAAATTTACGAATAGTAAGGTCCGAATCGAATTTAACTGTGTTTTTAAATTTTTGTTGAGACGTCATTTTAGGGATCACCATGCAGAAAGACACAAGTTTTAATGAATAATTTTCCATGGATGTAAAAAAAGAAACAAGAAACTGATAAAACATGGTGTTTTTCTATCACCACATACGATGTCTTTGTGTAAAAAAAGACGACAAAATCTTATCCATTACAGAAGCACATAAATCCAAACCCTTCTTGGCCCTTCAAGGGACGCAACAAATTCACGGATGATGCTTCTCAAACTGAGCCATTCAGAGACAGATCAATTCCTCACCAATGGCTGCAACATCCTTCTCCTACACTGCCTGCACTAAACTCTCTGTATTACGCCCGCCCTCCGGCCAATCCCGACCGCCAAGAACGATGAAAACGTTGTCGGTCTCTAACCCCGAACAAGAAACGGTCAGAAACGAAGAAACGGAACCCGAAAAGACATCAGAGGACACAACAGAGCAGAAGAAGCCGTTGAGGCCGGTGGAGCCGCAGTTGAACGTCAAGAGCAAGAACATGACGAAAGAGTACGGCGGCCAGTGGCTGAGCAGCGTGACGAGACATGTCAGGATCTATGCGGCTTACATCGATCCAGAGACTTCGGAGTTCGACCAGACGCAGATGGACAAGCTGACACTGATTCTTGATCCCACCGATGAGTTCCTCTGGTCGGATGAGAGCTGCAACAAGGTCTATTCTTATTTCCAAGACCTCGTCGATCACTACGAGGTACCCAAAAAAATAAAAAATAAAATACTTGATCCACTCTTCTTCTTGTTTACTCATTGCAGAGAAAAAATTCATGTTTTTCTTGCGATACTCCTTTGAAATTGTGTAATAGAGACTATAGGTTAAATTTTAAATATATACAATTATATAATTATACCCTTATAATCGAGTCTAAGAAACAAGGTTTCTATATCAAGTTTTCGCCTTTCTCCTCGACCCTTTTCCCGTGTATTCGAGAAAAATAACGGGTCGGGTTCGGATTTGGGAGCAGGGAGCGCCATTGACGGAGTACACGCTTCGGCTGATCGGTTCGGACATCGAACACTACATAAGGAAGATGCTGTTTGACGGAGAGATTCAGTACAACATGGACGCACGAGTCCTGAACTTCAGCATGGGCAAGCCTCGAGTGGATTTCAACAGCAGCAACATCACAGACAACTAAGGCCAATTATACACCCAAGAGGCACTGTGATTATATTATATTATACATGCCTCAAGGATTTGTGACCTTTTCTTCACAACATATATATATATATATATATATATATATATATATATATATATATAGTTTTCGTGTTTTTTATTTTTTTGAAATATTAACTGTTCTCGTTCCATGCAAATGCTTTATCATAGTTCGATATTTTCTGTAAAAAGGGTAATTCCGAGAAAGTGCAAGAAAAAAAATTATAGAATATGTGTTGGGCCTCACGGCCCATGATGGTGGAAGAAAGTGAACATTCCCTCTGGGAAGGAGGTTTTGGTGTTTTAACCAAAACGTTGCGTATTGGGCGAGGGTTAATGAAACCCTAGGAGTTTTCAGATGCTCGTGCCGTTTTCAGAAACTAAGAGAGAGAGGAGGCAGAGGCGACTTCGGAGGCGACATCGGAGGCGATCTCGCCGGTGGAACTTCGGCGGTGCGAGCCGAGGTTAGAGGTGAGTGATTCCGGTAAGGTTTATCTCGACTCTCTCGGTTCTCGGGTGTATTCTCTCCTCTGTAAACGTTATGGCAAAGACACCGAGTTGTGGTGTTCCGCCGGTTCTTCTTTCCATCGTCTCTAGTGGATTCGCCGGCACCGTCCGGCCGAGATGTAGGCCCGAGCTCCGCTCGGTAACCGAACTCGTTAAAACCGACTGTCTTCTTCTTCTTGCACGTACGAGCGTCGGAGAGAACCGTGAGAAATCCGATACCGACTTCACAAAGTGATATCAGAAAGTCCGATTCCGGCGAAACTCGGTCCGAACTCGTCCGAGTTAGGGCTGAGTGGAGGGATCGGGTGAGTCAACGTCCGAGTCAACTCGGCAGACTCGGCGGCTAGGGTTTCCGAAATTAGGGTTTCGGATTAAACCCGGTTTACGCCGGTTTAATCGATCCAATTTCGGTTAAACCCGGTTTGGGTCAATCGAACCTGGTTCGATTCGATCCAAGTCCGGTTATCGGCGGTCAGATCGGGCTTGACCCGGTTCCGTCGGTTCAGACCGGATTCCGGCCGATTCAGTCCGGCCCAGACCCGGTTCCGGCCAATTCAGACCGGTTCACTCCGGTTCGGTCAATTCGTTGACCAATTTGGTCAACAGTTGACCGGTTTAGGTCAAATCGGACCGGTTCAGGTCCGGTTTGGGGTCAATTAGACCGGTTTAGACCGGTTTAGGTCAATCTAGGTCCGGTTTAGGCAAATTCAGGTCCGGTTTAGGTCAATTGAGTCCGGTTTAGGGCAATTCATACTAGTTTAGGCTGGTTTAAGTCTCGGTTAGGGTCTGATTTGTCTGGGAAGGGCTAGAATTGTTCGGTTCAGACCAATAGGGTCTGATTGGAGGGGAATTAAGGCCGGTTTAGACTGGTTTAGGTCTAATGTTAGGGTCTGTTCGTCCAATTAGGCTAGAATTAGACCGTATAGGTCAATTGGGTCCGGTATTTGATAAGATCAGATTGGTTTTAGGCTGGTAGAGGTCTGTTTAGGATCTGATTTATCTGATTAGGGCTTGTATTGGTCGGGTTAGGATCTGATTTTGTGGTTAGGACTAGATTGGGTCAGTTTTAGGGTCCGGAGTGTATAATTAGGACTAGAACTAACTGGTTTAGGGTTAGGATGGTCCAAATTAGGTCTGATGGTGTTTGGTTTAGGGCATAATGGACTGGTTTAGGGTAGATTAGGGTCTGTAGTGATCGGTTTACCTTGTTAGGCTGGTCTAGTATCAAATTTGGCTTGGTTTTAGTGAAATATACTAAGGATAGACCTGTTTAGATCTCGGTTTAGCTGATGTGAGTCATAGATTCCTGTTTTTCTGTTCAGTAAAGGTCTGAATAGGTTGGATTTGATGACGTTTAGCTGGGTAAGAGGTCTGGGTAGACTAAAATAGGTTGGTATAGGTCTAAGATTGACTGGTTTAGGTCGGTATAGATTTGTAAGTGCTGTTTGGGTCTTGGTTTAGGTCTGGTTTAGCCAAATTTGGGTTAGTCTAGCTTAATTTAAATCTGATCAGCAGATAATTAGGTCAAAAATAGGCTTGGTTAGGTCTGATTAGAGTTTAGAATGTCTATAGAGACATTGTATAGGTCTGATCAGATTAGTATCTGATTGTAGACTTAGGTATTATCTAGTTTAGGACTAGATAGGACTCCTAAGTACCAATTTTGAGTCATAGAGTCCGGTACATTGACCGGTTAGGTCTGATTAGGTGGGATTTGACTAAAACAGGTTGGTTTAGGGGTTGGTTAAGTCTAGAATCACTAGGTATAGGTCTGTAGGGGTCGGTTTAGATCAGGGCAGGTCTATAGGGATCGGTTTTAGGCGTTTATTGGATCTGATCAGAAGTAAAGTAGGTCTTATTAGGCTTATTTTAGGTCTGATTAGGTTGCTAAAATCTAATCAGGGGTTGGTAAGTCAATAGGGGTTGGCTTAGGTTTGATGATTAGGACTTTTAGGCGATTAACTAGGACTTATGGTCATCTAATCAGGGGTTGGTCAATTAGGGTTGGCTTAGGTCTGATTAGGGTGTTGTGGTGGTCTAGTCGGGACTTTTGGTCATCTAACTAGGGCTGTTAGGGTCTAGGTATCACTTGGGTAGGTCTGATTAGGACTTTGTGAGGGACCGGGTAGACTCGGGGTCGTAGGACTGGTTAGGACTTTGTTGGGGGCCATGTAGACTCGGTGTTGTAGGTCTGATTAGACGTAATCAGGTCTGTGTAGCCTTAAGTTAGGTCTGGTTAGACGTAATCAGGTCTTAAGGTAGGCTATGTTTCGAGACTAATAGGTCGGTTAGGCAAAATTATGCCTAGGGTAAGTCCAATCAGGTTTGTGCGAGAGTCTAGGAGGTCGGTTAGGTAGAAATATACCTTGTGTTAAGTCCAATCAGGTCTGGTCTAGAGTGTGTTAGATCCGTTTAGGTAAGATGTACCTAGGGAGATGTCCGGTTAGATTTGGTTTAAAATCCGTTAGATCGGTTTAGATCGAGTACCTAGGGTTAAGTCCAGTTAGGTCGTGTTCTCTAGGTCTTGTAGGTCTGATTAGGTAGACACGTACCTAGGTTTAGGACCGATAGACTTAGGGTTAGAGCGTGTTTAAGCACGGCTAGGTAGAAATATACCTAGGGTTAAGTCCTCTAGGGTTCGGTCTCATCCCTCGTGTCATGTTACATCACTTCTAGGGTCGGGTAAGTCACTTCCGGGTTGAGTCATTTTAGGCTCTTGTTGTATCATCATAGGATGATGGAGTTAGATCATCTAACTCGGTATACCCCGAAAAGGGGTATGGTGGAAGGACTAGGGGTCTCAGGCAAACCCGAGAAATCGGGTGCAGAAGTAGGCCAAGGACCAGGTGGAGTGAGTTGTTCCGCGGGTAGGTAGGGATACTACATGGAGGATTTGTAGATCCCGGATGACGAGGTAGGGAGAGTCCGAGGTAGAAGGACGTGTTGACCTCGGAGGAGTAACCGAAGATGCTTCGGTTCTCGGTGGTAGGTCAGGAGGTGAGGTCTCCACATTTAGGTGGAGCTTCCTCGGGTAGGATGCTCAGGAGATGGTGTGAGCAGGGAGGTGTCGGGTTATCACCGGGTAGAGTCGGTGTAGGTTGGCGCTAGGACACTCCCTCTCAAGGTGGAGCACGTGTACTCACGTGTCTCATTCTCGGTGGAGCATTCTTAGATAACTAGGAACGTCTTCACGGGACAAAACCGTGGGACAATTCTAGTTGGCAGGTTAGGGTCCGAGGGTAGAAGTCGCATACCTATAGGTAGTATAGACTTCACGGGGATCCGGGCTAGGTATCTAGCGGGTTCGGTGGTATGACTCAAGTTAGTCTCGGGGAAGTCGGGATAGACTTAGGAGACGGGTAGACGTCGGGTGTAATCCTCGGGTTAGCTAGCGGGTATAGTCTTGGACTTTACTAGGAGGGTTAGTTAGACGGTCTAGAGAGTCATACAACCGAGGGTAGCGTTTTCCGGTCGGGCGACGCGGGATAGGACTACGGTTCGAGTCTTATCGGGGTGAACGTTCTAACATGTTTACCGAGTGTTTCAGGTAGAGATGAGCTGATCGGTGGCGGGGATAAGGCGACAAGGCCACGAGGAGTCATCGACGGGAGCTTCATCAAGTTCAAAGGCAGCGGCATGCGACTAACTCCGACATCAGGTAAGTGAGGTAAGTCAGGTAAGTTTGCTTTAAATTCCGACGAAAGTCGAGGGATCGACGAAAGTCGATCGGTGCTGGAAACGGCGAATTCCACTAGTTTTTTATTTCTATTATTTTTGTTTGGTTTCCCTTTCTCCACCAAGGTGGAGATTGTTGGGCCTCACGGCCCATGATGGTGGAAGAAAGTGAACCTTCCCTTTGGGAAGGAGGTTTTGGTGTTTTAACCAAAACGTTGCGTATTGGGCGAGGGCTAATGAAACCCTAGGAGTTTTCAGATGCTCGTGCCGTTTTCAGAAACTAAGAGAGAGAGGAGGCAGAGGCGACTTCGGAGGCGACATCGGAGGCGATCTCGCCGGTGGAACTTCGGCGGTGCGAGCCGAGGTTAGAGGTGAGTGATTCCGGTAAGGTTTATCTCGACTCTCTCGGTTCTCGGGTGTATTCTCTCCTCTGTAAACGTTATGACAAAGACACCGAGTTGTGGTGTTCCGCCGGTTCTTCTTTCCATCGTCTCTAGTGGATTCGCCGGCACCGTCCGGCCGAGATGTAGGCCCGAGCTCCGCTCGGTAACCGAACTCGTTAAAACCGACTGTCTTCTTCTTCTTGCACGTACGAGCGTCAGAGAGAACCGTGAGAAATCCGATACCGACTTCACAATATGTAACATTGCTATTTTCCCTAATTAGATAGTTAAAGTTAATTAAAAATCAAAAGGGTTCTCCCGAATGTCGGACGTTTGAAGAATATTCTGTTGGCAAAAGGGGAATATACGCAGTTGTCAATATTATATTCACAAAAATTAGAATAGGATAAAATTGATTGACTATTTTTCTAAAATCATATGGAATTAACTTCGACTTAAATATCAGATATGAAATAAATATTTTTTATAAAAATGAAATTTGGAGATATAAATTTGGAGATATAAAAAAAAAATGAAATTTGGATTCGAATGGAATATAATGAAATAAAATATAAATATCAAATATATAATTTTATAAATAAGAAAAATTATATATAAGCAAAATTGGAGATATAAAGTATTTTCAAATTTCACCGGTTGCATTAATGATATCATACTAAGGCTATGAATAGAAGGATTTTTTAAAATCTAAGAACAAAAAAAAATAATCAATCAAGTTTTTATAAATTTTAGTTTTTCTAATCCAAAAAACTAATTTACTGAAAAATCAACTAAAAACCAAAACTCTATTTTTATTGAATTTATAAATATTATAAAAGCCAAAAATATAAAACCAAAAACAAAAAAATCAAAACCAAAAATTTAAAATAAAAACTATCACCATTAATAACCTAAATTCCTAACCAATATAAAAGAATCCTGATAATAAAAGTTTTTCAGTAATAAATTTCTCGTTCAGCAAGAGATGTTTATTTTTTCAAGTAAACATTAATGATATGTTTTAATCCAATCACTATAGTTGCTAATGTAAGATAAATATAGATTTGATAAATTAATTACTATATATATATATGATGATTTTGTTTTCAATGAAATACGAAAATTCGAGGGTCACTGTCGTAGAAGCCGTTGGATCTCCAAACCAAATGATTAAGAAATAAACGCTTTACAATATCTTCGGTTTGCGTAAACCTCGTCGGTTTTGTTTCACTTCTTCTTCCCTCTTCCTCTTCGTCTCGATCTCCGCTTCTCCTCTGCGTCTCGACCAATTATGGCTTTTTTCCTCCATTCAACCAAGTGGCCAACGAGATCAAAAGCATTAAGAACAACAAACAATACCATGTTAATTCTCTTGCTGTTCCTCGCAAAGCAAAGGAAGCTATTGGAGGCTGTACCTTCTCCGTAGATTCATATATTTGCAGGTGTCTGGATTAATCCGGGGCCTTCGATTCTGTTTTTCTCGTTCGATTCTCAACTGTGCGGTGCTTGATTTTGATGGGTTTTGGTGGCAAGATCGAATTGGCGAAGATACTGTTGGAGAACAGGCAGAGTCATCTGTTTCAGCACTGGCCCCATCCCGGCGTCGATGACGATGAGAAGCGAGCTTTTTTCGATCAGGTTTCATTCTCTCGGATGCTTTTTCTCTTTTTCTCGTGATTTTTCTGGTCGGATCAACGTCGAGAACTTGCGAATTTTTCATTTCTGCATTCTATCTCTGATCCAAGCTTTCTCCTTTTTGTGCCATGATTTTGATTTTTTTTTTTGCTGATCTCTTGTGTAGTCATGGATTCAATGGTGTTTTATTTGATGATTGGTAACTAATTGTTGAAACGAAGAACTGAATTATGCTTTTACAAACTATGAATTGTAGATTGCTCGCCTGAATTCAAGCTACCCTGGAGGTTTAGCGGCTTATATCAAAACTGCGAGGGAGCTTCTTGCAGATTCGAAAGCTGGGAAGAATCCATATGATGGTTTCACACCTTCTGTAAGTTATGACTTATATGTTTCAGGAACCAGATAGATTTGAATTCAGAAATGTTTTTTTAGATCCAAGGGTTCTTTTGTCTGTTTACATTGGTTGTAGAAGGATATGGTCCTAAGATGAGGAAAGTATGCCTTTTGGTGAATGGTTTGTGATGCAGGTTCCTTCAGGAGAAAACTTGACTTTTGGCGATGGTAACTTTATGGAACTCGAGGAAACCGGTGTCAAGGAAGCTAGAACTGCTGCTTTTGTTCTTGTTGCTGGTGGGCTCGGTGAGCGTCTTGGATACAATGGAATTAAGGTAGTGCATTAGCTCTACTCATAAACTGAAAATTAGAATATCTATAATCTAGTGATGCTCAAAGTGAAGTGCCTAGGCAGTTCATCTGCTTGATTGGTGCCACTGGTAACTTTAACCCGAGATTCAGCGTATCTGTATTGATGTTGCCCCTTCATTATCTTTTTGGTACTGGTAAGAAATTTCTTGTAAATCCTGTATTTCTCTATCTATTCTTGCATCCCGACTTATTCATGAGACGATCTCCATTCATTACCATAATGTTGTAGAACAAATCAAATTTGAATGGGGGAAAGAGATATTTGCTTCTTCTTTTCTAGAAATATGTTCGATATCTTTAGCCGAATCTTGATGTCATATCATAGGTGGCACTTCCAAGGGAGACAACTACAGGGACATGCTTCTTGCAGCACTATATTGAATCTATATTGGCTCTTCAGGAAGCTAGCAACAAGGTTGCTGGAGGTGTGTTTCTGAATTATTTGACTCAGTGCTAAAATATATCACATATCAAATGAGAATAAGCATTTTCGCATCTTAAAAACTTGATTTTCCTCCCCTTACTACCAGATATTTAGAATCTTATGAGTAAATATGGTAGGACCTAAGGACTACGTGGTGGTAATGTCTGCAAACTTGACATTTTCTGAGTTTTAACAGTGCTCCCCACGACAAATTTTGCAGTTGGAAGTGAAAATGATATTCCTTTTGTTATCATGACATCCGATGATACGCATGCACGTACATTGGATCTGTTAGAGTCAAACTCATACTTCGGGATGAAACCCACTCAAGTACATCTTCTAAAACAGGTAACTTACCGGCTATAGCTATTATTGAAGCAAGCTTGTTAAGATTCAAACTGGTCACTTTAATATCGTGTTTGGATTTTTTTTCAGGAAAAAGTTGCATGTCTAGATGATAATGACGCCAGGCTTGCACTAGACCCTCATAACAAATACAAGATCCAGGTACCATACAATTTCTATCTGATTTTCTCAAAGTAAACACAATATTTGGAGCTGACTCTCGATGTTCTTGTGTAATCCCCTTTTTGATTGTCAAAGACAAAACCTCATGGCCATGGTGATGTTCATTCCCTTCTTTACTCCAGCGGCCTTCTGAAGAAATGGTATATTTCTTGTCAAAACTCGCTGAATTTGATATGTGTGCTATATCTTAATTTCAGTGACCCCATAAGTTTCTACTTTTTTCTGTTGCAATTTCAGGCTTGACACTGGTTTAAGATGGGTTTTGTTTTTCCAAGATACAAATGGACTCCTCTTCAATGTTTGTAGCAGTTATTCAACTTTTTCTTGTGTTTATTATACATAACTTTGGTGTAAAAACTTACAAATCCTTGTTGAATTTCATGGGTCCAGGCAATTCCAGCTTCTTTGGGTGTGAGTGCTACCAAACAATACCATGTTAATTCTCTTGCTGTTCCTCGCAAAGCAAAGGAAGCTATTGGAGGAATCACCAGACTTACCCATAAAGATGGTAACACAGATGAAAGCAATATGATCCTGCAGTGAATGAGCACATGCACATCTACAATTATTGTACATATACATGTGCGTGTGCGTGTGTGTGTGTGTCTCTTTATTAATAATAAATATTTTCCAGGTCGATCTATGGTGATCAATGTGGAGTACAATCAACTTGACCCTCTGCTTAGAGCAACTGGATTCCCTGACGGCGACGTTAATTGTGAGACTGGCTACTCACCTTTCCCAGGAAATATCAATCAAGTGAGTCGAGCTTATACGCTTATAGTTTCCTTTGTCAGTCTCTGAATTGTAGACTTGCTAGAACTGCTGAGGCTTCATTTCTGACATACTTGTTCTGTTTCCTTTGGTGCAGTTAATTCTGGAACTTGGTTCGTACTTGGAGGAGTTGAAGAAAACTGGAGGTGCCATTAAGGAGTTTGTCAATCCAAAGTAAATCTTCATTTCTCTTCATTTGCTAGTTTTATTGCTTCACTGTTCGAAAATCTCAAACCCTAAATCTAAACTTCACTAGCTGTAACATATTTGCAATCTCACAAGCAAGCACAGAAGAGCTTGTATTAGTACTTTTTTTTTTTTAATCTAACAGCATTGATTTGTAATTATAGATGTGTTACTGGTTCTACATTCTCATCTCTATTTCCCGGAACTTAATACAGATACAAGGATGCGAGCAAAACGGAATTTAAATCTTCAACCCGTCTGGAATGCATGATGCAAGATTATCCAAAGACATTGCCTCCAACGGCGAGGGTTGGATTCACGGTAACGATCATTTTGAAGGAAAAAGACGATCGTCTACTTGTGGCTGTGTGTGATTGACCATTATGTGCTAACAAAGATATGATTCTCCATTTAGGTAATGGATATATGGCTTGCTTATGCACCTGTCAAGAACAATCCTGAGGATGCTGCTAAGGTGAATCTACTCTATGAAAAAAGAAAAATAGCCATATGAAATTTCATTTTTTGTTGGCAACTGAGAGAAAAGTGTTGGTTCTTGTGATTAAACTGCTTGAAGGATGTGTTGAATATAAGTTGAGTACAAATTCCCCTTCTCACTATTGTCCTGACTCTATTAAAGGTACCAAAAGGAAACCCATATCACAGTGCAACTTCTGGAGAAATGGCAATCTATCGTGCAAATAGCCTTATTCTTCGAAAGGTAATCTTATTAACCTGTAATTTAACATACGCCTCCATACAACATGCTACTCTTGTATATATTATTATAGATTATGTGCTAAAACATGCTCACAACTTGATTCTTGTACGTGATTTTGTTGCCCATTCATGTTCAGAGATTCTGAGTAATACTCTTGTATACAGCATCTTTTTCCCTAAACTTTTGCCTTTCTTTTTTCCGATTTGCTAGGCTGGAGCCAAAGTGGACGATCCGGAGAAACAGGTTTTCAATGGGCAAGAGGTTGAAGTTTGGCCTCGCATCGTATGGAAACCCAAATGGGGAATGGTTTTCTCTGATGTCAAAAGCAAAGTCACTGGAAACTGCTCGGTGTCTTGGAGATCAACAATGGCAATCAAGGGCCGGAATGTATATATTGAAGATCTCTCCTTGGATGGTGCTCTCATCGTAGACTCCATCGATGAAGCAGAGGTACGTATAAAAAAGCCATCCTTCAATGCAAATCCATATGTTATCTCTTATATATTAAACGTAAAATCTGATTGAAAAAACAGGTAAAAGTGGGAGGCTCGGTCCAGAACAAGAGCTGGATCATCGAAAATGTAGACTACAAAGATACATCTTTCCCAGAGGAAATAAGAATCAGAGGTTTCAGGTTCAACAAAATCGAGCAACTCGAAAAGAAGTTCACTCAACCCGGGAAATTCTCCCTCGTCGAGTGATGAATGATTGATTCTTTTATACAAAGAAACCTCTCTGTTCAACGCATCTTCAATGCCAAATAACCCTTATGTCTCCAGGTCACATTATCTTCTTCTTATTTCCTTTTCCATATCTTGAATTCTCGATTCTTTCTCACACCGTTGAGCAAGCCTTCGGTGTAAACGGGACTTCATATAGAATAAGAGTATCCTCCTCTGATGTATGTTAGTTATATTGGTGAGAAAAGCTTTGCAGATTTCATCTATGGAGTTACTGGACGTGGTACTTTGTTCGTCTGTGTTTTCGGTTACCTTCTTCAATTCGTTCACGAAAACTTCGATTACCGGAGAATATTCCGGTGTTAAATACCGAGATTCCGGTGAGATTTGCAGTTTGAGCTCTTCATGAACACGAAGGGTTAAGTGTTGGCTCAAAGCTTTTGAGTTGTTTCAGCAACACCAGAAGGTGTTTTGGTTTACAGTCAAAGTCTGCAAAAAGGAGAATGAGAATCTCAGAAAACGTGTTTTCTGGTTCCAATCACTGTATTAGTCAACGTTGCCAGTCAACGTCTTCCTTTTATTTTGTCCGAATAGTTCTGTGTTCACAAAATTTCTCATCAATATTCCAACTTATACCTATCACCTGGAGTGCTCACGAGGAAATAATTAATTTATAATTTTATTCACTGTTATATCATCAATAAACTAATCAATTCCCTGTATTTATTTGTCTCGTAGAATCTTTTCAAGAAAAAGGAAAATTGGATATTCTATTTAACCCAAATTAAAAAAAATGGATATATTCTAGGCTACATAGTGAGATGGGTTATTATTATTATTATTATTATTATTATTATTATTATTATTATTATTATTATTATTATTATTATTATTATTATTATTATTATTATTATTATTATTATTATTATTATTATTATTATTATTATTATTATTATTATTATTATTATTATTATTATTATTATTATTATTATTATTATTATTATTATTATTATTATTATTATTATTATTATTATTATTATTATTATTATTATTATTATTATTATTATTATTATTATTATCTTTAAACACAGATAACAACTATTAATGTGTATATATGAGAGATATGAACCGATTTTCCCAACGTGTCTAATTGAAAAATATGGAGAATTTACGTAATACTAAATAAATTATCGAAACAAATAACATTCAAAGTATTTAATTGTGTGCCTTTGTCATTACCTTGAAACTAAATTCGACGAATGTCTTGACGAACATTTCTTCCCCTCAAGTTTCCCCTAAGCTTCCAATATGTTTCATTAATATTATTTCCAAACCTGTAACAAAAAATGAAAATAATAAAAAAAAATGTCACATCATGTAATAGTTGAAAATCTAAAGTGGGACAACAAAAAAAAAGTTTGAATTTTCTTTTTTCCTCCCCGAGTACCGCTCGTGTGGTAGACTTGTGTGTGTGTATATATACACGTAAATGTATGTATGAAGCCACTTCAACTCAAAAAGAATATTTGTGTTTCCTTTGTTATATATCATATTACATTAAAAAAAATGTCGGCTTTAGCGACGGACGATTTGCAGAGAATATTCAAGAATCTCGACAAGAACGGCGACGGATTCGTGAGCTCAGAAGAACTCCTCTTCCTTCTCCAAAGAATCGGTGTCCAACAATTCTCCCTCCAAGATATCGAATCGATTTTCTCGAAACCCAGACTCGATCTGGTCGAGTTCTTGATATTTTACGACTCCATCTCGAAAAAAAATGGCCAAGAATCCGATCACGTCGACGGCGAGGACGAGACCCGAGATCTAGCTGAGGCGTTTAGAGTGTTCGATCTCGATGGGAACGGAGTTATCTCTTCCGACGAGCTCCAGAGCGTCTTGTCGAGACTCGGGCTTTGGGAAGAGACGAGCGGAGATGATTGTAGGAGAATGATTAGGGTTTACGATACGAATCTTGACGGCGTTCTTGATTTTGATGAGTTCAAGAACATGATGCTTAGTGCTTAGAACGTTGTCTTCTCTCTTTCTTAATGTTGTTTTGTCGCGTAAGTGATTTGTCTATTCCTCGAACTTCATGTCATGTAGTTTCATTAATTTGGATAAGCAAAAAAAGATTTATAGTTCGTTATCGATTTCATTAATTAAGAAAAAGATTTAAGGCTATAGAATCTTTTTTAAGCATATTCAAGAAAATAACTGCATCATTGATCTAACGGTCAAGCTCGAAAAAAAAAGGATGGATGGTGCGTTAGATCGAACTCAAGTTGTCGTATTATAAGGTCTCTTTTATTATACCCAAAACTGAATGGCTCAACTGGTAAAAAAAAAAGAATAAAGAAATTTGTTTAATCCAGGTTCGAGTTTTCACTTAGAAAAAATCATTCACGTGGACTTATGCGATCCTCTGAAATATGTAATTGAGTCAAAAGTCCAATGAATTTGCGAATTATAAAAAAAATTCTATTCATCATCGTAGGGATTATATCAAATACAAATAGGCAAAAGTAACAACTGTCTTCCTCTCACAAGTTGGTTTCCATTTGGATTAATTAATGATCTGTCTTAGATATCAAGAAAATTATGATAATATTTAGATTTAATATATTTTTTATATTTAGATATTTATACTAATTAACTAGGATTATTTAAGATTGTACTTTGTATCTTTAAATATATGATGCTAAAAAGTTAAATATTTTTTTCAATAATATTCTCTATCCAAATATTTATCATCTCGAATTTAATATCTAAGTTACCATCATTCCTAATACAAAGAAATTCAAAACATACAAATAAAAGAAATAAAATATCACAAATTTCAAAGACGAGGTCTCACGAATATCATGGTCCGATTTTATATGAGATCTTGGTTGCGGTCCTAATGGCTGGGTGTGTGTGTATGGTAATGGTTTGGTTTAGGAGTGGACATAGTTCAGATATTTTTGTTATTAATCGAATAAAATCAAATAATGGTATTTCGTTTATTAACCGAATCGAATCGAATAAATGATCAATTGGTTTCAAATTCTCAAAATCTGAAATAATCGAATCCGAACCCAATCAAACCGATTAAAATTTAATAAACGTTTAGTTATAAATTCTCAAAACATGAAATAATCGAACCCGAATTGATTGAACTGTTTATACATCCTATTTATATATATACGATTTTTTCTATATAAGAAAAATCGCATATAAATACCTGAACTTTTACAAAATTTTCAAATAAATACCTGAACTAAATTTTTTTAAAATAAATACCTAAACTTTTAAAAACTTTCATATAAATACCCAAACTTCTAAAAATTTGCCAAAATGAAGCAATATTTGTTGACACAAAGTCATCAATTATCGATGGATTCCGTTATAATTTAACGTCATTAATGAATTTTGGTTTTATTTGGTAAATTTTTCAAAGTTTGGGTATTTATATGAAAGTTTTAAAAAGTTCAGGTTATTTAGAAATTTATAGTTTAGGTGTTTATTTCAAAATTTTGTAAAATTCAGGTATTTATATACGATTTTTCCTCTATATACATACATACATGTATCTATGTATTCCTAATTTAATCATTGTTTTATTATTTTTCATTCATTTCATCAATATTTTATTATTTTCAAGGTTTTGTTTAATATGAATATTTGAAGAGGAGATAATTTACTTATAAAATATTTTTAGTTTTTTGTTTTTATATCAAAATAAATTATAAAATGTATTTAGATTTTGTTATTTTATATATTAAGATGTTCATGATATAATATAATATCTTGTTTGAATATAATTCTATTATAAATTATTCTTAACTTGTTTTTAATATAATAATCGAGGCAAACCGAATTTTTATTTAGTTATAATTTTAAGTAGACAAAACCGAATAAAATCGAACTAAATAAAATTAAATAGTCGTTTGATTATAAATTTTCAAAATCTAAAATAATCGAACTTGAATCATCTGTAAATGATTGACCCAAAGCGAACCGTTTGCCATCCCAAACTGTATATTGCTTTAGGCATCCGTTTTAGACACATGTAAGTTGGGTATGCGTTAGTAACTTGGCTTGATTCATTCGCAAATGGATGTCAATGTCTCTTATAGTCGTAGTGGAAAATTGTTTTTTAATAATAATTATTACTATTATTATTATTATTATGGTTGATTATTCCGAAACAATTGCGTGGTTGCCTTATTAATACGTTTCCATACGTAGACTTTGTGGATGGACCGACTGGCCGGTGTATCAACAGTTGATCCCAATCTCCGCGACCATCTTCTAAGTTAAAATTTATAATATATTCGTTACTCACCCAATTCACAAAACAAAATTGAAAAAAAATATCTCGTTCGAAACCCATTATTAACTAGTGATTAATATTCAATCATTACGCTAATATCATGAACAGAATTTACAATTTTTAAAATTTACAAACGTTAGAATAAAAAAAAACAATTTAAAAATCGTCTACAGGTCAATGGGACCGACGAATATTAACATCACCGACTTGAAACAGTATATTAACTACGTACGTACATTTCTCAGTCAAAATCTGTATTTAAAGTTGATTTCTCAACCTATTTTCTTATTTTTTTATTTTCATTATATATAAAAATATTCCAATACACACACAGATATCACTTTCAAGGAAATCACTCAAGAAATTTCCAGGAAATCGACGAGAATCATCCAACAGAAGTACCTTGTGTACGGATGTCGTACAAATCCCCAAGAAATTTCCAATGTACTTTTTGTTGTTCTTATCCAAAAACAAAAGAACTAAGCAAAACATATACACACATCATCTTGCAAGACTTTCACTGTGATAAAGCGCCGCAAAAACAGTTACACGGTGAAAGAAGTGCATGAGCCTGAGAAAAACGCCCGTAAGAAGAAACGAAAAGGCTTAGTTCGTTACAATTCTCGCTGTTCAGACAGTAAAATCGATTGGAACGGGAACTTACTTGTTGTCTAGGATGACTTGTCTCGGTGAGTTGCCGCTGTGTTGACCTGTTTCGACAGATATGCTTCATAAATTTCGACGATAAGACGAGGATCCTTCTCCACGAGCTCCATATATTCCTCTCTTTTCGTGACTTTGTCCATATTATCCGTGATCAATGACAGTGCTGCATCCAGCATTTGTTTTGCATTGTGCCGATGAGCAAAGGCATAGCTCACAAGGGAAGTCTCCCAACTCATCTTCGTCATCAAGAACCTCTCGCAGTAACTCTTGAGATGTTTCACTTGGTATTTCTCAGATAGGATTAAGAGATCACAGGCCATTTGTTCATCGAGACATGCTTCCGCAGTGTATAGATAATTGACGAATGCTCGGAGTGCATCGTACGACACGTCACTGATCTTTATGGTGCCACTAAGGCTCTCTTCCATCTCGTTGTCTAGCATTGCTTTGAAGACCGGTGAACGGCTCACCTGGCAGCAAGTGACATGGCCTCTTGAGTAAAATAGAATAATGCACATTTTACATAAGAACCAAATGTAAGGGCACCTATATATATGCTACCTATATATATGCTACTGAACCTTCAGCTGCTGTTATACATGAACTATCAGTACAAGAACCACCAGATGATTCAAACAATAAGAGAGGGCGAAAAAAAAGACATGAGCTTCATTCTTCATGGTTTGATGCAAACAAAGAACTAGGAGGTAGGATCTAATGGAAAGCAAGAGAGGTGGAAGACCCCGCACCAACCAAAAGCACATATTTCACAAAACATAAAGAATCCTCTCCTTCTAAAACATGGTTTCTTCGCATTTAGTCGCTGTCCTACCCGACTACAACAGCATATATAATCACAACCCGTATGCCATCTCGAAAGACATGCCCGGCTATTCACTCACACTTTCTTGACCGAGAACTTAGAGTGGATAATCAATCTCATAAAACGGTTTGCAATCAACATTGATTACAACCCTTGTCAAAAGAATCCGATAGTCAAAACCGTTAAAAGCATGGTAAAAGGTGCACAACTAGATGCTCAGGATCCCCATGATCAAGCAATTTGGAATAGTTCCTTAATCCTTGGGACAGTCATGAGATCTGTTCTGTCCACAAGAACCTTTATTTCCTAGTGGCGCTTTTCTTATGCACATAAACTTGCAGTGAATAGATCAACTCCAGGCGTACAACCATCTGGCTGTAATCTATTTCAGTTAGATTATCCGACAACAAAGACATTTCTCAGACTATTCGAAGTTCGAGCCCCTAATTCGAACCATGTAGATTCCCGAAACCCATGTTTCTATAAACAGCAAAAGACCAATTCAGACCAAAGAGATATCAAGAGCAGTATGAAATCAAGGGAACAGCAACCAGATCAAACAGCAACAGCACCAATAAAGCTCGTAGAAATCATAGTTCCAGCTATAATCACAATCCGGTCCAAACAAGCACAAATTCAACCACCAAACGAGAACCGAAATTCAGGTAAGGAACCCAACTAAAACCCTAGAACGAAGAACAGCAAAGGGGAAAGAGCAACGAACCAGGACGGCTTTATGAGCGGGGACGACAGGACCGCCGACGCCGTCGTCGCAGGCGACAAGAACGACGTCGGTGAAGCAAGGACCGACAACGGCGGAGGACCTGGAGCCGCCAACGCCCACGTGATCGAGCGGAGACCAGAAGCGGAGAAAAGAAACTTTGGCCTTGAGATCGTCGATCTCGCGCTTGAGCTCGTCCTCCGTCTCGCTGGCCTCTTCGTAGCACTCCTTACAGATCCCGGCGTCGCGAGGAAGGTACTCTTCCCGGCAAGAGATGCACCGCATCTTCGCGTCGGTATCGGCGTCGGAATCAGATCCGGTTACGGTGTCCGAGTCGGATCCGGGCCGGGTCGAGTGGCATCGGTGACTGTGGGGGTGTCTTCTCATCGTCCCCGGCACCGCCGTTTAGTCGCTTCTCACACTTAACTTTCCTATGCAAAGTGTAAACACTTTTATTTGGGAATATTACAAAAATACCTTTAAATCGATTTCACTTACATGACATACCCACAAAAAAAAAAACCTTCAAACAAAAACTGTAAAAGAATGAAAAGACATCGTTACCCCTTTTAAAAAATACACGTGTCAACATCTGAAGGAGAAAGACCAAAAGTTTGGAAGTTACTAAATTAAAAAAATTTGAAAAACCAAACAGTTTTTTTTGCCCCTTTTCGACAGACACTTTCATTTCTTCATACTGTCGTTTCTTCTTCTTCATTTTCTCTTCACTCTGTGATTTTTCTGTGCGAGTTCGTCAAACTCGTCAAATTTGCACGAAGAATAGCTCCGTCTTCATCATCTTCGGACCCTACTTGCGAAGACCTCCAGATATAGTTTTTTAACTCCGCAAAAATCAAATTTTTTAGGGTTTCGGGTATACATTGAGATTCGGTTTTAGATTTTCTATTAAGTTTTCGTTAAAAATAGGGTTTGAAATAAAAATTTGAAAAACTATGGGTTGAATGACAAATTGTCACTGAAATATCGAAATAGGGTTTTCGGATTGGGTGAGAAACAGTGTTTTGTGAAAAAGACGGATAGAAATCGGGTCACGATGATATTGTCGACAGTCGGATGCACTAAAACATAAATTAATGGTCATGCTAGATGTTAGTTAAACTTAGCGCACCCGTCAAACAAGTCAAACTATTCGAGTCTCAAAAATGTTCAAACTCGTCAAACAAGTCGGAGTTTGACAAATTTGACGAGTTTGACGAGTTTGACGTGTTTGACGTGTTTGAAGAGTTTGAGAGTTTGACGTGTTTGACGAGTTTGACGTGTTTGACGAGTTTGATAATGAGTGTTAAATTTGTTTTTGCAGGTACCTTTTGTGTATGATTTTAAGGACATTCATATGGCTCCTAAGATCACGACGAAATATTATCCATATCAGACTGTTAGATCTCTTAAAAAGGAATTGACGGATGAAGAATTTAATATTTCCAAAAAGAATCCCAGTTTCGCCATATTTTCCATCTTGGATGTAAGGACACATTGAAGATGGTTCCGACATCAGTCCTCTTACATCGAGCACTAAAATTGGAAGGAGAAGTGAAACAGCTATGGTTTGTTCTGAATGGCGTGCCCATCAGATATTCGATCACCGAGCATGCGATTATCTGCG